AGTGACAGCTTGCGACTGAAAAGCCTGTCGTAAGTTGTCTGTAGAGCGAACTTTAGAGGAGGTGCTGTAGGTGTTGTTGACGTCGTCACTATCTGACGGGCGGTGCCAAGAGGCATGGAATGTGAAGTGTGATCACCTCTGACTGTGATTTCTCCCAGTTCGGGCTGGTTCGGGTAGAAAAGAAGTAATGGTAGAAAACGCCGCGGGTGGGCTCACACCACCCTTCCTGACGCCGCCCCGCCGGATTGCGACAATATTAACAGTACCTATACATTTAAAATGAGGTATGCGTTGTCGCAAGTAGTGGGAAATTCCTCAAAGATGCGGCTCTAAATCAGCCACCTCATTGAGAAGCGATTCGTAGTCTTAGCAGGTTATTCCAGAGCTTGTACTGCGAATGGGACATCGTGAACTACTCGCTGGGCCTACTATGTTGCTCATTGTAAACGAATTACTTATCGCAGTGTTGCAGCTTATATATAGACAATGCCCTTTTCACAACAGTGTGCTATATAAATCTCTCATTTATGATGTTCTTTCTACAGCTATCAAGAAATAAGGAACGTTTTTGGCGAGTGATCACTAAACATTGCTTCCCACAGGAGCTTCCTGCCGCTGGTGAATATGTCTGCACAATATGACCAAAGTTACTCTTGTGGTAGACCCCAACTCTTGTCCATTCTATATCGATATCCCTGAGATCGGGTAGGCGTGGCTGCATTCTTCAACTTAACCTGAAGGTGTCTATGCTTCTGGTGGAATATTTCCATCTTGACACAACTGTTGTCGTGTCTCTGTCCAACACAGAACAAGATGACAGTTGTCCCAGACTGGAATATTCCACGAGTAACCAATTCCGTGCCATGTTCAAATGCCACGCCTACTCTGGCTCAGGGATAAGGAGTGTACCTGTTGTCTTACTCAATCTTCCCAATTTCCTATCAATTTTCCCAGTTTTTTTGAAGTACTTATCTCAGTTTTTTTTTCGAAATACACCGTAGAGCAGGGAAAGGGGTAGATGCCACCAAATAATTATCAAAGATAGCAGATGTATAGGACCTTGACTGATCCGCCAATCAGGGTAGAGAAGGAAGAAGCCAAACAACCCCTTCTCGGAAGCAACTAAATAAGAGCCCGCACTAGAGGTTCCGAGCCAGCGTACGACGTGCCTAGGTCTGAAATCACTTAAACGATGTAGTGTTCTTGTTTTTGTCTACAG